TAATTACTGGAGTTATTACCCTTGGTTTCATTAATGCGATGCATGCGTTCCATGATGTTGTATTGCACTCATTGATCTACCAGTTATGTTGAATGATTTCTCTTTTAATATCAATTACTCACAAATACTTCATATATTTCAATCATACAAACAACTGCTCATTCAATGTGTGACGGGCGTATTATATACCGCTCGCGGTAACCTTGTTGGGAATATATGACCTCAATATAACCTTGACATTATAGGGAGGCGTGAATGACCTTTATATAACCTTGACATTGTAGGGAGGCGTGTATGACCTTTATATAACCTTGACATTGTAGGGAAGAGCTGATGACCTCTTTATAACCTTGACATTGTAGGGATGCATGTATGATCTTTATATAACCTTGACATTGTAGGGAGGCGTGTATGACCTTTATATAACTTTGACATTGTAGGGAGGCATGTATGACCTTTATATAACCTTGACATTGTAGAGAGGTGTATACGACATCTATAATCTATATAACCTTGACATTGTAGGGAGGTGTGTATGACCTTTATATGACCTCTATATAACCTTGACGTTGTAGGGAGGTGTTGATGACCTCTATATAACCTTTACATTGCAGGGAGGTGATGATGACCTCTATATAACCCTGATATTGTACGGAGGTGTATATGACCTCTATATAACCTAGACATTGTAGGGAAGTGTTGATGACCTCTATATAACCTTGACATTATAGGGAGGTGTATTTGACCTCTATATAACCTAGACATTGTAGGGAGGTGTTGATGACCTTTATACAACTGACATTGTATGGAGGTGTATATGACCTCTATATAACCTTGGCATTGTATGGAGGGTTGATGACCTCTATATAACCTTGACACTATAGGGAGGTGTATTTGACCTCTTTATAACCTAGACATTGTACAGAGGTTTATATGACCTCTATATAACCTTGATATTGTACAGAGGTGTTGATGACCTCTATATAACCGTGACATTGTAGGGAGGTGCATTTGATCTCTATAAAACCATGACACTGTAGGAATGTATATGGCTTCTATATAACCTTAACACTGTAGGGAAGTATATGACCTCTATCAAACCTTGACATTGTAGGGAGGTATATGACCTATATATAACCTTGACATTATAGGGAGGTATATGACCTCTATATAACCATGACATTATAGGGAGGTGTATTTGACCTCTATATAACCATGACATTATATGGATGTGTATTTGAGTCTATATAATCTTGACACTGTAGGGATGTTTATGACCTCTATATAACCTTGACACTGTAGGGAGGTATATGACCTCTATATAACCTTAACACTGTAGGGAGGTTTATGACCTCTATGTAACTCAACACTGTAGGGAGGGTGTATATGACCACTACATAACATTGACACTGTAGGGAGGTGTATATGACCTCTATATAACCTTGACATTGTAGGAAGGTATATGACCTATATATAACCTTGACATTGTGAGGAGGTATATTACCTCTATATAACATTGATACTGAAGGGAGGTATATGACCTCTATATAACATTGATACTGACGTTGTAGGGAGGTGTGTACGTGCTACAGATCATGGATTGGTATTGCTCCACCTTTTCACTGATGATCCTTTCCCTAACAGAGTGTATTGTCATCGGCTGGATCTATGGTAAGTTATATAGCAGTTAAATGCTGTTCTTTATGGTTCATTTATTAACATATTCATGTTTATATCTGATAATACAATAAATATAGGATGGCTTTATCATCAGTGTGTGTTACATTATATGTTATATAAAAGGCTATCAAAAAAGTATTTCATATACATCATGAATGTTAGGTACATAACCTGTTTTGTATCCATGTATTTGGGTTATTGTTAGCATGTATCAATATCCTGTTGATTACCTCCCTTTGCTAGTTCAGTTACTAGATTAGGTAGTATTTTGAAATGTTTTGCAAACTTGTTAATCATCTAGTGAAATGAAGGCAAAGATAATTGATTGAAATTGAAAAAAATGATATACTCTAAAAAGATCAGCATTGCTCAATACATGTTATTTATTGTATTACAGGTGCTGACCGTTTCTACCGGGACATCGAGTTGATGATAGGCTACCAGCCCTGTGTCTGGTGGAAGATCAGCTGGTGTTATATAACTCCCATCCTTATACTGGTGAGATCACTAACAGTCTGTGTGATATAAGTCCAGGTTAACCACAGTGGATCTTAGATAAGTTCAATTTACGTTAAAAAGTGGTGAGACAATTAATATGTTTATATATTCAATGAACTTATAATAATTCATATAAAGGACTCTTTGGCTCCGGTAACCTAGAACTTGTACTAACTGTGACTTCCTGTACACAGTTTATATGGCTGTTCAGTGTGACCCAGCTGAGTCTGGTAAACTATAGTAACAGTGACCTGTACTAACTTTGACCCCCTGTCCACAGTTTATATGGCTATTCAGTGTGACCCAGGAACTTATAATAATTCATATAAAGGACTCTTTGGCTCCGGTATCCTAGAACTGGTACTAACTGTGACTTCCTGTACACAGTTTATATGGCTGTTCAGTGTGCCCCAGCTGAGTCTGGTAACTTAAAGTAACAGTGACCAGTACTTACTTTGACTTCCTGTCCACAGTTTATATGGCTGTTCAGTGTGACCCAGCTGAGTCTGGTACATTAAAGTACCAGTGACCTGTACTAACTTTGACTTCCTGTCCGCAGTTTATATGGCTGTTTAGTGTGACCCAGCTGAGTCGGGTAACCTATAGTCACAGTGACCTGTACTAACTTTGCCTTCCTGTCCACAGTTCATATGGCTGTTCAGTGTGACCCAGCTGAGCACAGTAACCTATAGTAACAGTGACCTGTACTAACTTTGACGCCCTGTCCACAGTTTATATGGCTATTCAGTGTGACCCAGGAACTTATAATAATTCATATAAAGGACTCTTTGGCTCCGGTAACCTAGAACTTGTACTAACTTTGACTTCCTGTACACAGTTTATATGGCTGTTCAGTGTGACCCAGCTGAGTCTGGTACATTAAAGTACCAGTGACCTGTACTAACTTTGACTTCCTGTCCTCAGTTTATATGGCTGTTCAGTGTGACCCAGCTGATTCTGGTAACCTATAGTAACAGTGACCTGTACTAATAGTAACAGTGACCTGTACTAACTTTGACGCCCTGTCCACAGTTTATATGGCTATTCAGTGTGACCCAGGAACTTATAATAATTCATATAAAGGACTCTTTGGCTCCGGTAACCTAGAACTTGTACTAACTGTGACTTCCTGTACACAGTTTATATGGCTGTTCAGTGTGACCCAGCTGAGCACAGTAACCTATAGTAACAGTGACCTGTACTAATAGTAACAGTGACCTGTACTAACTTTGACCCCCTGTCCACAGTTTATATGGCTATTCAGTGTGACCCAGGAACTTATAATAATTCATATAAAGGACTCTTTGGCTCCGGTATCCTAGAACTGGTACTAACTGTGACTTCCTGTACACAGTTTATATGGCTGTTCAGTGTGACCCTGTACTAACTTTGACTTCCTGTCCACAGTTGATATGGCTGTTCAGTGTGACCCAGCTGAGTCCAGTAACCTATAGTAACAGTCACCTGTACTAACTTTGACTTCCTGTCCACAGTTGATATGGCTGTTCAGTGTGACCCAGCTGAGCACAGTAACCTATAGTAACAGTGACCTGTACTACCTTTGCCTTCCTGTCCACAGTTTATTTGGCTGTTCAGTGTGCCCCAGCTGAGTCTGGTAACTTAAAGTAACAGAGACCTGTACTAACTTTGACTTCCTGTCCACAGTTTATTTGGCTGTTCAGTGTGACCCAGCTGAGTCCAGTAACCTATAGTAACAGTCACCTGTACTAACTTTGACTTCCTGTCCACAGGTTATATGGATGTTCAGTGTGACCCAGCTGAGTCCAGTAACCTATAGTAACAGTGATCTGTACTAACTTTGACTTCCTGTCCACAGTTTATATGGCTGTTTAGTGTGACCCAGCTGAGTCTGGTAACCTATAGTCACAGTGACCTGTACTAACTTTGACTTCCTGTCCACAGTTCATATGGCTGTTCAGTGTGACCCAGCTGAGTCCAGTAACCTATAGTAACAGTGACATGTACTAACTTTGACTTCCAGTCCACAGTTTATATGGCTGTTTAGTGGGACCCAGCTGAGTCTGGTAACATATAGTCACAGTGACCTGTTCTAACTTTGACTTCCTGTCCATAGTTAATTTTGCTGTTCAGTGTGACCAAGCTGAGTCCAGTAACCTATAGTAACAGTGACCTGTACTAACTTTGACTTCCAGTCCACAGTTTATATGGCTGTTCATTGTATCCCAGCTGAATCTGGTAACCTATAGTAACAGTGACCTGTACTAACTTTGACTTCCTGTCCACAGTTAATTTTGCTGTTCAGTGTGACCCAGCTGAGTCCAGTAACCTATAGTAACAGTGACCTGAACTAACTTTGACTTCCTGTCCACAGTTTATATGGCTGTTCAGTGTGACCCAGCTGAGTCTGGTAACCTATAGTAACAGTGACCTGTACTAACTTTGACACCCTGTCCACAGTTTATATGGCTATTCAGTGTGACCCAGCTGAGTCCAGTAACCTATAGTAACAGTGACCTGTACTAACTTTGACCCCCTGTCCACAGTTTATATGGCTATTCAGTGTGACCCAGCTGAGTCCAGTAACCTTGTACTAACTTTGACTTCCTGTCCACAGTTTATATGGCTGTTCAGTGTGACCCAGCTGTGTCGTGTAACCTATAGTAACAGTGACCTGTACTAACTGTGACTTCCTGTCGACAGTTTATATGGCTGTTCAGTGTGACCCAGCTGAGTCAAGTAACCTATAGTAACAGTGCCCTGTACTAACTGTGACTTCCTGTCCACAGTTTATATGGCTGTTTAGTGTAACCCAGCTGTGTCGTGTAACCTATAGTAACAGTGACCTGTACTAACTTTGACACCCTATCCACAGTTTATATGGCTATTCAGTGTGACCCAGCTGAGTCCTGTAACCTATAGTAACAGTGACCTGTACTAACTGTGACTTCCTGTCGACAGTTTATATGGCTGTTCAGTGTGACCCAGCTGAGTCCAGTAGCCTATAGTAACAGTGACCTGTACTAACTGTGACTTCCTGTCGACAGTTTATATGGCTGTTCAGTGTGACCCAGCTGAGTCCAGCAACCTATAGTAACAGTGACCTGTACTAACTGTGACTTCCTGTCCACAGTTTATTTAGCTGTTCAGTGTGACCCAGCCGAGTCTGGTAACCTATAGTAACAGTGACCTGTACTAACTTTGACCCCCTGTCCACAGTTTATATGGCTATTCAGTGTGACCCAGCTGAGTCCAGTAACCTATAGTAACAGTTACCTGTACTAACTGTGACTTCCTGTCCACAGTTTATATGGCTGTTCAGTGTGACTCAGCTGAGTCCAGTAACCTATAGTAACAGTGACCTGTACTAACTGTGACTTCCTGTCGACAGTTTATATGGCTGTTCAGTGTGACCCAGCTGTGTCGTGTAACCTATAGTAACAGTGACCTGTACTAACTTTGACTCCCTGTCCACAGTTTATATGGCTGTTTAGTGTGACCCAGCTGTGTCGTGTAACCTATAGTAACAGTGACCTGTACTAACTTTGACCCCCTGTCCACAGTTTATATGGCTATTCAGTGTGACCCAGCTGAGTCCAGTAACCTATAGTAACAGTTACCTGTACTAACTGTGACTTCCTGTCCACAGTTTATTTAGCTGTTCAGTGTGACCCAGCCGAGTCTGGTAACCTATAGTAACAGTGACCTGTACTACCTTTGACACCCTGTCCACAGTTTATATGGCTATTCAGTGTGACCCAGCTGAGTCCAGTAACCTTGTACTAACTTTGACTTCCTGTCCACAGTTTATATGGATGTTCAGCGTGACCCAGCTGAGTCTGGTAACTTAAAGTAACAGTGACCTGTACTAACTTTGACTTCCTGTCCACAGTTTATTTGGCTGTTCAGCGTGACCCAGCTGAGTCCTGTAACCTATGGCGACTACCACTACCCTCAGTGGGCCATCATCCTGGGATGGTTCCTCGGACTTATCTCCCTTGCACCAGTTCCTATATGCGCTGTTATATTGATATTTAAGGAGACTGGACCCATTATGTTGGTAAGAAAACATGTAGAATAATATCATAATGTATAACAGTAAACATGGGTACTAATCACAGTGTTGTGTTAACAAGTCACTGAGACACAAGTCGACTGTTAGTAAACCATTAGATTTTAGTTATTCATCAACGATGATACCAGTATTTTAATAAAACTTTTCATAATCATCCACTGGAAAATTGTATATCCTTACACATGAGTAAATTAACTTCCCTTATTTCCAACTTTTGTTATGTTTTGAGCAATAACTTCTCTGTTTCCAAATTAGCCAAAAGATATCATGTTAACTGTTTATGATAAAATAAACAACTTTTAACAAGTATTTTCTAGTATAAGTACTATAATACCTAGTAGCTAGACCCCAAGTGTCCATATAGCAATGCAAATTATATCTCGTAGTTTCCTCTACCTTCTGAGTCAATGAAAACTTTTGCCTGATAATGATAACAATCATCGTTAACAATGTAAGCGGTAATACCAGGTGAAGAACAACAGAACTTCATTAAAGTCGTACAATTTTCAGAGAGTGAAGAAACTATTGAAGCCAGCAGAGAATTTCGGACCTGCCGTACCCAAGTATAGAGAAGAGTATGTAGAAACATTGGAGAAAAGGCAGTCATACTTCCCCACAATCGATCTGAGATGTCGACATACAGGTTCATCAGAATTCATTCAGACCGGAGAAACACAAAACTTCATGAGTTGACGTACTGTATAGCTTTCTTCAATAGTTATGTCTTTTCCCTGGAAAATAAAACTTTCCATTTCCTTTTCAAACAAAAAAGCTGTTTCAATAGATTTTATCATCACTATGATGTACCCATTCAACAATGAAGAAATCATAATCATTTTTTTTTTAGCTCGCCTGCCAGAAATTTGTCGTAGAGAATGACCTTGAACCATTTTCAAGGTCATAGAATACAAATATGTTAATTGAAAGGTTTAAATGACTTCTTCTAAACAAAGAAACTAAAAGTTATAATTGACCCATAGCATGCTTGAATGAAGGGTGTTTGAGTTTGTTGAAGTGAATGATCTTGACCCACTTCAAGGTCACAAGGGGTCAAACATTGACCCTGAAGTCAAAGAGTAGCCCCATTTAACTTGGAGAGTCAGCTTGCTTGCTACAATTTTTTTTAAATACATGTTACCTTGACCCACTTTGAAGGTCACAGATGTAAGATATTTTTGCCAACAGCATTGAAATAAACAGGCGAATGATACAGGCCAAATCGGCCACTTCATGATCTCACGAGTTTAAACAAGTTTGTATGTAGGTTTGATTTACTGTAGTAATATCAGTCACTGTGTCAGACAATCTCAATGTGGTGGATTCCATTTCACATCACATTTTAGAATTTTTCATTTCTGTATACATATTGTACGTTATTTTTGTTTGCGATGTGTCCCCCCTCCCCCAAATCAAAACAAAACAAAACTTTCTTGGGTAAACATGTAAAATTACCTCAAAGTCAAAAGTCAAGTCTCCTGGTACATTTGTGATTTGTATTATAGGAAATCCACTTGGTCTTTATTTTAACTGCATTTGGAAGTGACTTGTGACAAACATGATGTTGTTTATAGCATAAAAAATATTGCACAGTATGTAGAGGGATTGGGAAAAGCAGGGGCCAAACATGTATTCAGAATTGTAATGGTATTTACTGAGAAATTTATCACAAATTTACAGGATCTAGACCAGGAAATAGTTAAAACATATAGAAGATGGACTTTATAGTGTGATTTAATCTTAACACAAGGACAATGTCTCCTTATAGAGTGATGAGTAAAAAAACACCCAAACACCAACTGTAATACCATATGTCGGGACTCTCTGGTCTAGATAGCTGACTTGTGGTCCAATGTCTATAACATATGTAGGGGACTCTCTGGTCTAGATAGGTGTCCTGTGGTCCAATATCTATACCATATGTATGGGACTCTCTGATCTAGATAGGTGTCCTGTGGTCCAATGTCTATACCATATGTAGGGGACTCTCTGGTCTAGATAGCTGTCCTGTGGTCCAATATCTATACCATATGTAGAGGACTCTCTGGTCTAGATAGCTGTCCTGTTGTCCAATGTCTATAACATATGTATGGGACTCTCTGGTCTAGATAGCTGTCCTGTGGTCCAATATCTATACCATATGTAGAGGACTCTCTGGTCCAGATAGCTGTCCTGTGGTCCAATGTCTATACCATAAGTAGAGGACTCTCTGGTCTAGATAGCTGTCCTGTTGTCCAATGTCTATAACATATGTATGGGACTCTCTGGTCTAGATCGCTGTCCTGTGGTCCAATATCTATACCATATGTAGGGGACTCTCTGGTCTAGACAGTTGGCTTGTGGTCCAATGTCTATACCATATGTAGAGGACTCTCGGGTCTAGATAGCTGTCCTGTTGTCCAATGTCTATACCATATGTAGAGGACTCTCTGGTCTAGATAGCTGTCCCGTTGTCCAATGTCTATAACATATGTATGGGACTCTCTGGTCTAGATCGCTGTCCTGTGGTCCAATATCTATACCATATGTAGAGGACTCTCTGGTCTAGGTAGGTGTCCTGTGGTCCAATATCTATACCATATGTAGAGGACTCTCTGGTCTAGATAGCCGTCCTGTGGTCCAATGTCTATAACATATGTAGGGGACTCTCTGGTCTAGATAGGTGTCCTGTGGTCCAACATCTATACCATATGTATGGGACTCTCTGATCTAGATAGGTGTCCTGTGGTCCAATGTATATACCATATGTAGGGGACTCTCTGGTCTAGATAGCGGTCCTGTGGTCCAATGTCTATACCATATGTAGAGGTCTCTCTGGTCTAGATAGCTGTCCTGTTGTCCAATGTCTATACCATATGTAGAGGACTCTCGGGTCTAGATAGCTGTCCTGTTGTCCAATGTCTATAACATATGTATGGGACTCTCTGGTCTAGATCGCTGTCCTGTGGTCCAATATCTATACCATATGTAGGGGACTCTCTGGTCTAGATAGTTGGCTTGTGGTCCAATGTCTATACCATATGTAGAGGACTCTCTGGTCTAGATAGCTGACTTGTGGTCCAATATCTATTCAATATTTATTATGTATATATGTAATGATAAACTTACACATTTATCTCTTACTTCAAGTAATTAATTTCACTTTCCTTGCTTGTACAATCACAAATATGGTTTGAATTCATTGTAAAAAAGGTATTTTTGTTTTACATTTGGAAAATTGTTGATTGATTCTTTGATTCTGGTTTAACATTTATCTGTAAATAATTAACTTTGGTTCAGTCTAATTTTTATTCTAGAATGATACAAATTTTACAGAGAGCTTATTTTTTACATTTAATTTCCCGATACAATTATGATGAAGTCATTCACTTCCCAAAATTTAGACATGTTTCAAATTGATTTTAATGATACAAATTTGTTGGTTTTTAGCTTTCGGACCAGGTGAGCTTATGCCATACCGCAGCATCCGTCGTCCGTCCGTCGTCCGTCTGTCAACTTTTCCTTTAAAACGCTACTTGTCAATAACAAATAGGCAGATTTTGACCAAATTTGGTCAGAAGCATCCTTGGGTGAAGTGGAACCAATTTTGTATAAACCGTTGGTCTGACCCCCCAGGGGCCTGAGGAGCGGGGCCCAATAGGGGAAACGTAGCAAATTATTCTTTAAAATCCTTCTTCTTTTGTAGGAATAAAAGGAGTTTGTCCATATTTGGTGTGGAGCATCCTTGGGTAAAGGAGAACCAATTTTGTATAAACGGTGGGTCTGTCCCCCCTGAGGGCTGAGTGGCAGGGCCCAATAGGGGAAATATAGCAAAATTCTTTAAAATCCTTCTTCTTCTGTAGGAATGAAACGATTTGTTCCATATTTGGTCTAAAGCATCCTTGGGTGAAGGGGAACCAATTGTGTATAAACGGTGGGTCTGGCCCCCATGGGACCTGAGGGGCGGGGCCCAATAGGGGAAATAGAGGTAAAACCTTTATAATCCTTCTTCTACCATAGGGATTAAGGGATATTATCCTAATTTAGTCTGGAGCATCTTTTTGTATAAACGTTGTATCTGATGCATGACCTCCCTTGAGGCAGAAAGACGGGGCCCAATAGGGGAAATAGAGGTAAAACCTTTAAAATCCTTCTTCTATCGTAGGGAATAAGGAATTTTATCCTAATTTAGTCTGGAGCATCCTTGGGCCAAAGGGACTCAATTTTGTATAAGCAGTGGGTGTTGTCTCCCAGGGGGCAGAAGGGTGGGGCCCAATAGGAGAAATAGAGGTAAAACCATTAAAATCCTTCTCTGACCATTGGGATTAAGGGATTTTATCCTTATTTGGTCCGGAGCATCCTTTGGCCAAAGGGACTCAATTTTGTATAAATGGTAGGTATGACCCCCTAGGGGCAAAGGGGTGGGGCTCTGTTTGAAATTTGTTCTCACTATATCTCAAGTACTGGATGGATCTTTCTGAAATTTCATATGTACTTACAGCACCTACCATGGAGTGCTATATCTTTACTTCATACCAATTATTCTAAACATATTCAGGTGAGCGATACAGGCCCTTTGGGCCTCTTGTTTAAAAAATAATATCTGAAATATGTGTTTTTTCTCTTGATCTGTAAAGGGAATTTTATTTTACAAATTTCATTATCAATATTCTTTATGATGCACATGAATTTACTTTAACAAATTTTACTGCATGTTCTGTATAAAAAGAATCCAGAGATCAGAACTCCCTAGTGCTTGGAAGCTGTGTAAGTCAAAGTGCTAGGGATCAAGGTCTGATCTCGGTTTCCTTTTTTTTTTTGAAATATATATATATATGTTTTCCATCACCAAGAAGTTTGACAGATGTTTTATGTATAATTGAAAGCAGTTCAGTTCTCAACCGATTGTCTTTTGCACTAGTTTCATCTCCTATATGCAATGTAGTAATCATTTTCCCATATTTACAGGGATTGTGCCGATTTAGAACAATCTGAAGTAACTATTATGTCCAAATTTATGTGAGGTGGTTATTCCCCGGTCACACTGATAAACAGTATTTGATTGACGATTTTGTATATATATATATAACAAAATATGGTTATTTTAGGCTATTACACTTTTCTTGCCCTCAGCCTAATGCAATATTGATAGGCATAATTAAACCAGTGAAAGGTCGTTTTTTAGAAAAAGAATTAATTTGTGTTCATCGAATTATATCTGTACTTGACAAAATACTGAATTTGTTCTTGGTCTTAAGTTACATTACAATGTTATAATTTTGTTTTTATGTTTATGTTCAATAAATGAATTTTATAAAACAACATGTGTAACAAGTATTTTGCTACAGACTTCATGGGTCGTCAAAGTCACAATTGGTATGTCAAGGTCACAATTGGTATGTCAAGGTCACCAGTACACTGTACATGTATACAACTGTTCTAATGTTGTAGGTTTAATACTGAATGTATGGGTTAACCTCAAAAGTTGGTGCACACATACATAGTACTAAATGGAACAACTGGTCTTAATTAACACAAGCTTCAGCAGCCATGACCATCACTGTGGTCATAGTCCAAATCTGTCTTATATATTCCAAAATCTTGTGCAGAGACCATATGGAAACCAGTGTTTTGACAACCATTTGTTGGGTTACCTGTTATATCTGCAATTTAACCTATATTGCTCAAATGACTTAAAAATACAGTGTAACCCTATGTATTTATACACCTACATGCTAACTGTATAGTGTAGATTTATATGTCGGTAAATCTAGACCTCCAGTAATGTTACTATTTAGTACCTTACAGTAATGTTTACAACCTAGAACAAACTGGTCAGCAAAGGCCTTACAATGTTCCTGACCGTGACCCCCCTCCCCCCTTTCATAATCTATTTTAGTTGAATTAATTTTAGTTGAATTAACAGTAACCTTGATCTTAAAATGATTTTAAATCCCTGTTGCACATCTACATATAGCAGTGCATCACCATGTCATTTTAAAATTTCCGAGATACGTACTGTATCTTCCATAGTCTATCTTGACCTTAGAACCTTCGTAAATCTCTATTCCACACCAACACATCACAGTATATCACCATGTCAACCATTAACAAGATTTGACTTTTGGATTCCAAGACAAGGACTGTATCCCATGTTATATTTTTAGTAACAGTGACCTTGACCTTAATTAAATTGACATCCTATCGCACATCTACACATCACCGAGTATCACAAAGTCAAATTTCAAAAAAATAAACTAATAGATTCCATGATGAAGACAGTATCTCTGATGGTCTATATTCAAAACGTACAATGGATGCTGCACCATAACATATAACAAGAGATCCAAGAGGGAATTTGGCGTCCACCATCATACCATCTTCATAAGTTCTTGGATCTCAGCGCCCACTGTCATACCATCTTCTTAAGTTCTTGGATCTCGGTGCGCACCATCATACCATCTTCATAAGTTCTTGGATCTCAGCACCCACCGTCATACCATCTTCTTAAGTTCTTGGATCTCGGTGCGCACCATCATACCATCTTCATAAGTTCTTGGATCTCAGCGCCAACCATCTTTCCATCTTCATAAGTTCTTGGATCTCGGTGTTAACCATCATACCATCTTCATAAGTTCTTGAATCTCGGCGCCCACCGTCATACCATCTTCATAAGTACTTGGATCTCAGCGCCCACCGTCATACCATCTTATTAATTTCTTGGATCTCGGTGCCCACCATCATACCATCTTCATAAGTTCTGGATCTCAGCGCCCACCGTCATACCATCTTATTAATTTCTTGGATCTCGGTGCCCACCATCATACCATCTTCATAAGTTCTTGGAACTCAGCGCCCACCGTCATACCATCTTCATAAGGTCTTTGATCTCAGCGCCCACCGTCATACCATCTTATTAATTTCTTGGATCTCGGTGCCCACCATCATACCATCTTCATAAGTTCTTGGATCTCGGCGCCAACCATCTTTCCATCTTCATAAGTTCTTGGATCTCGGTGTTAACCATCATACCATCTTCATAAGTTCTTGGATCTCGGCGCCCACCGTCATACCATCTTCATAAGTTCTTGGATCTCAGCGCCCACTGTCATACCATCTTCATAAGGTCTTGGATCTCAGCGCCCACCGTCATACCATCTTCATAAGTTCTTGGATCTCAGCGCCCACCGTCATACCATCTTCTTAAGTTCTTGGATCTCGGCGCCCACCGTCATACCATCTTCATAAGTTCTTGGATCTCGGCGCCAACCATCTTTCCATCTTCATAAGTTCTTGGATCTCGGTGTTAACCATCATACCATCTTCATAAGTTCTTGGATCTCGGCGCCCACCGTCATACCATCTTCATAAGTTCTTGGATCTCAGCGCCCACTGTCATACCATCTTCATAAGTTCTTGGATCTCAGCGCCCACCGTCATACCATCTTCATAAGTTCTTGGAT